TGACTTGCCACTAATATACATATTTAACTGTAATCTTAATATTTTACTGGAACTTGTTTACTTGAAAAATGCTAATGTTTATTTCATTATTGTTTTCACTTACGTTGGCTGTCTGTTATATAGAGAAAATATCCTAAAAAACTACTATTTAATTTTTTCCTCACTCCACATTTATTGTTTAGTTAGTTCCCTTTTCTTTATTTAGAAAATTAAGGTAAAGTGCATATGTACCTTTACAAAACACCTAAATATTTACTATATCAAAGAATATATATGTATATAATTATTATATTCTTAATTATATAGTGTAAAGTCAAAAACTTGTATTATTTCCTTTAAGATTTATTTATAGGCAGCTTGATTAGATACTATAAACCCTTTATATTTCTTTTCATGTGTTTTTATTTACTATTTCATTATTCATTTATTTTATAAAACTTTTAAATTTCTTCACTTAATGAAAGAAACATTACGATGTTACTTAAATTGCAAATCATAATTACTGTTATTTGTACAATTGAAATATATTTAGGTCTATTTTCCTAAATGATAAAACATGCTAAATGCATCCATGGATCACATTTTTAATTTTTTAAACACAAAGTTAATGTCACGTCTGGTCAGACCTTAAAATTCGTCTTACGAATTTATAATATACAAACAAAAGTCATTGGACTAGTTGAGAAAATGTCATTATAACTTTATTATACTCCAGTCAACATATTCTTATTCGAATCAGCAAATTAAGCATACAGTATATTTTACACTTGATCTCATGATATAATTATGTATCGAGAGTGTGTTATTTAACTGAATTCTAAACGAATTTTGAAATAATACGTTCTATCCCACAATAAAAAATCTTTTTAGGGATTTTTTTTGACACTTTTAAAGAGCGTTGTGGTGAAAGAGCTTACGGTTCCTTGGGAGACCAACATCCCCAAAGATCATGGTTAATATATATTACGAGCTCACTCGAAATAGGTTCGTTGTGGATTTAGTAGAAGTGGGAGCGAAAGTATAACGACAAAATCTCTCTACAACCTACTAAAGGACTTAGACTTGTCCAAAACTCACATTAATTCATTCCTGGAACGTACTTCGAAGGCAGCCCCAGTAGGTTCTTTTCAAATTTGGTTTGGTAGAAAGAGGAGCTTGGATGTTGGAGGTGAGCGTCGAAAGCACATTAAATATTAGGGCATATTAAACCTACAATTGGTTCGCAAGTCCCAGGCACGTCTAAATCTCCTCATCCTGCAACGCGATAGACCAGCACGCTTGCAATGGTTCCACTGAATGCTGAGAAGTTTTTGTCTTGTCTGTTTGTCTTTTTATAATTTCAAATTATCTACAACACCCTTTATTTATTTCCAGATAGTGTTTTTCTGTTATTCAACCTCTTGACAGATGGAATTGAAACCATAGGTGGTGAACATATCTTAACTTCTAACATATATTGGTAAAAATCTTTTCACTCTAGTCTTGAAAACAGTCAATTTATAATTCAAAAGAAACACAGAAGTAAGAAAACGAGTCCAATTCTCTAGTGTATCAATTAGAAAGCGTAGCACTTTCGAGAGATTGGCAAATCATTATTCGTCGATTTAAGTAAAAAACATTAATTTCAAAGGAATGACTTGAATCTCATAAAATTACAGGATTGATTTTATGTAGAAAGAAGCGTAATATTGATGTTTTATGACTTATGTTATCATTATTTTAGCACTTTTTAATGAGTGAATTTTTAAACCACATAAACTAATTCCCTAAATTTAAAAAAAACTTCTAAAAAGAAAATTAATCTTAAATTTGACTCGACCTCAGATTTTTTGTGTTGTTATCGCAATGCAGTCCCTTGATGGCAGTTGGTTATAATCGAACTTGAAATTGTTCTCTTTTTTTAAAGTACATGTTAATTTCCTTTCGTGTAACAAAAATGAGAGCTAATTTTCTTTGGTCAGTAACATATTACGGTTGAGTGAGTCTATACTATAATATATAGGTATTAGTTGATATGACAACTTTAATTCTGGGGAGGTTTCTATTAAATATACCTGTTAAATTTTATGAAAAAGATTCCTGATCAAGATCGCTAGAAGGGAGAGAACTGTTGTGACAAACTGAAGGACGTGGTATGTAGTCATTCATTTTTCCTAACATTATAAAGAAGGTTTTCATGATTATAAGACTACCTACTCGTACTACGACTACAAACAATGATCGGTCTATCTGACTTAATGATGAAATATTAATATTCCTCTATCCCGTTAGGTCATTTTTATGTTTGTCTTTAACGTCACCTATAATCAGTTTTGGACGAATATTAATATTTTTTTCTTACAAATATATATTTTTTCTTGTCGTAAATACCGTTGGTATTTTTGTAAATGGTAACAAGACAATTACTGTTGATTTATGTTTCTATGTTTTATGCACTCTTAGTTTAAGGTAAATAATAGACAATAATTATACAACGATAAATTTATTTGTACATATCTTTTAGTAAACATTTATCAAGATCATTGCAATATCTTCTTAATGTAGTCTTAATACATACATTATATTTATTATATACATACATATTCTATATCATTTGTAGTAACATTTTATGTTTTCTTATACCAAATTCTTTGAAAATAAAATTTTAAACATAAAATATTTAAATACTACTAAGAGTGAGGAAGAGATCTCTAACACTATCCCACAATCTAATCGGTTTTGTGATATCACTTAACCGGAAAAACTATTACATGCATAGATTTGTGCTTTAATACATTAATTTGACTTCATATTCGTTCTGCCAAGAACGTATCGACTTAGAACAAGAAGAATATAAGTTTTAATTCACAAAAATGTCATATAATTTTATAACCATAAAAAGGCAAATATTTACAATGCTTTATTTATTGGATGGGATGCTATTTAATCACTAAGGCCATCTTAAAAATATTTATCATTGTTGTAACATAACCAAAATCAACACTGAATAGAAGTTTTAATACATCTATGTGCGTAATACTAGTTTACTTTACTAGAATCAGATAGTAAAATAGACTATTAACATCTGTTTTCCAAATTTTAGTAAAATAAAAATAAAATGGTTATCAGGTTCAATTCTTATCTGACTTTTTATGTTTCTCTACTGGAAATAAAATTTAATTGGACTAAATAAGAGACTTGAGATGTTGTGGAATTAATATAATTTCGATTGTACATATAATGTTTATTGAAATTAACTGTGACACTTATGTAGTCGATTTTAATTAACTCACAAGAATTAAATTATTGTATTTCAATGTACTCTGTACATTTAGTAGATGACCTCACACTATAATTAAGACATTGAACTTACTAAACATAGCTTAATAATAAAATAAAGTTTTAAACTTTTTATTTCTTTCTTCTCATAACTACAAAAAAACATTTTCTTAATTGCAAAATTATCAAATATGAATTTCTTCTTAGCTAAATAATTAAAATTTTATAGTAGAAACCAAAATCATTAGAAATAATACAAATGAACCATATTTTTTTATTTACAAACATTTCTTATGACTAAATTCCAACTATTTGAATATTGGAGGCTAATGACATGAAATTACATTGCGTTGGACCTAAAAGCTACAGTTTTGTGTACCTTTTTATTCATAATTATTATTAATATTCAATATATTATTTTGAATTCAATACTTGTTTTCGATCTCTTAAAAAATATAAGTGAATTGTTCATATATTATTTCAAATAAATATTTTAGATAATATGAATATTTTTAATAAATTTTCTTTAATATACTTATGTAATATTTTTAATCTTAATTACATTAAGTAAATCATTGAACTCGATATTGTAGATGAGTTCGTGTAGGTGTGGGGTGTATTAATTATTATTGGTCTGTCTGATAGCTGCAGAAAAAATAAAAATGTTTTCTGTAATATCAATCATTTAACCAAAATGAACATAATTTTATCTATAAATAAATAACTTATAAAAATTAAGTTACTCAAAGTTTACAGTAAATGAGGTAACTTAGCTTAAAGTAGCAATAAATAACATCACTATTTCATCTACAAGAGGCGTAAAAATATATAAGGCATAGATTTTATTAAATATGTTCTCACATAAACTATATGTTTTTCTGTATAACAAATATATATTTCAATGGAAATGAAAAATTGTGTTCAATGTAACTTATGACCTTATATTGTCTATTTATTGCCTTTATAAAAAATATGTGTGTTATTTAATGATTTTTATAGAAATATAGTTTTTATTATTGAAAAAAGATATACATATAAACATAATTAAGTTGTCTATAATGACTTTTTCTTGAGACGCTGTTAACATTTTATTTTATTCTTTAATAGAGCATATCTTAGTCTAGATTTCGTTAAGCACTTATTATTGAATACAATTGATATGAAAGTAAAAATATCTTAGATTACTCTGTAACATTATAAAATTATTTCTTTTCGACTACAAATAGAATTAATAGAACATTTAATTGAAATGGCATTAACCCTGATTTCCGTTTTTTAATATTTGAAAAACAACACATTACAACTTTTATTTAAAAACAGAAAGCTTTTAATTTGACTTTATATTGGACGATATAATAAATTATTAAAAATCAAAAAGTAAGGAGAATTAGATACCATCTTTAATACCATATGGTTTACAAATTCTTATTAGTCCTAAGTTGACTTCTACTAAGATTACGGTTAATATTAATTTTTGACCCGTTTCTTGTTTCATCGATAGAGCAAAATTCATTTACCTCATTTTTACACTGACGGTAATCAACAAACGTATCACTGTGTCTCTCAATCTCCATTTTTTCGAAGCAACTTTGTTTTCTGCATTCTTTTTCTTTGGCAATGTGCCCTTTAATGCATTCGCAATAGGGTTTACAATCAAGCCTATAGGTACTTCTAGCAGCATAGTCCATGCTAGGGTTATGATGTCCTACTTCTGAATATAGGAGAAGATCTCTGCCCATGTGTCAATCTCTAGCTTCAGAGTTTAATGTGAACCGAGCTGATTCGCTGATGGAATTGTCACATCCGTTGTTCCTCAGCCGTCTGTTTCCATTCATGTTCTCTATGAATGACGTGTTCATTTTACCAAGATCTCTGTGTACGCTGTTATGGTTCGAAGATGCATGGTGTGATTGTCGATAACCCAAGCAAGTGTCGTTTCTCCTGATAGTGGTTCTTTTATTACAAGATCGTGAACTTCCCGGCAAAGTAATATCATCTGGAGGAGTATAGCAACGGAAGCATTTACAGTATGACCTGTAAAATTCATGACGATATTTTCCTGTAAAGAAATAAAAACTGATAAAAAATATATTCCTCAAATTGTTAAAACAGAAAATTTGTAATGTGAAAGTGTTTATGAAACTTCTCATTTGTGTTTTTTGTGCTAGCTTAGGCATTCATCGATTAAGAATATCTACATATTAGTCGGTCAACGATATTTAGCTTTAGAATTTTTGTGTACAAAAGTAAAAGATTTTCTATAACTATATACTGATTAATATCGGACAGGCTTTTGTTTGAAAGAAATGTGTATGGTTAAATTAAAATTTCTCTAATTCAAGGAATGCGAGTTTAAATCCAAAATCTTTTAAAAATAGCGAAAACATTTTTTTTTAATTAAACGAACATTTTAGCGAAGCTTTCACAGTTAAACCATGACACAACTATTATATATTTTTTTGTCATATGTTATTGTTAAAATAGACAATATACAGAATATAATAAAATATCGATTAAATTACAACAATGAATCCCGTCGCGTATCTATTCCAAACTAAAATGTAATCTAAATCAATAACCAATTTCAATTTACATATATTATACGGAGCTCGATCGCAAACTCAAGAGATACGTGTATGATGCTTGTAATATACTCGTATAATCTGTCTTAATTTAATACTCTTCGATAGTGAAGTAATATTAACACATACTTTGTATAATAATCAAAGGCTTATCCTGTATAACAATCCATTATTTGGTGTTTTACGACATAAATATAAGATTTTGCGTAATGACTTAATTAAATATCTTCCATAGACATCATTTATAAGTAAACAAAAAACTTTTAATCTATTGTAAGATTAAAATGTGGTGAATTAATAAAATATATTACGTCACTAAAATGTTTCATGACGAAAGTGATTCAAGACAAATGAAAAATATCTGATTTGGTAATGCTTTGTCTGGTAAAAAATTCTTGTAAGTAAAATAAAATGTTATTTTTGAGAGTACTATACTCTTTATTGGACTCTAACTCGTATAAATTTGTATTTTTTTCTTTTTCATTTTTCGTTGTATAAAAAATCTATTTATGATAACAAATCAGGATATAATAAGGAGTAAACACAATGAAAACAAAAGAGATTAACTTAAATCAAAGTCTGTATATAATTAAAATATTATTATTTCCCATTTGTTTCTAATTCTATAACGTATAATTTGAATATTAAAATTATATTAAATAATGTGTTAATAACTTTATATTAAAATTTGACTCTTTTTATAGAAGTGATTTCTAAATGCTATCATCCTTTTGTATGAATGAAAAATCTGGGAATAAATTTCAGACTTCGCATGATTAGGGGACCAAATGTAAATTCTTTGGTTTAAATTAAATTTGTTACGAATTCAAAAGTTCAAAATGTTTTGAAAATCATTATAATTTCAATAATTGACATCCTATTTTAGGCATTCATTTCATGTGATCTCCTCGAACCCGTTTGGTCTATTAATTTTTAGAGAACGAAGGTGTATCTGTTAAATTTTTAAATAAATAGTTTACGAATTGAAAACTGTTAGAAAATATTGCAGTACTTTACAAATATTCATTGCTAGCTTGAGAATGTAGAGAATTATCTTAATAGCTATCCGAAGATGAAACTCTATGTCTTTTTAATGTTTTGTTTATGTCTCAAAGGGGCTAACGAGCAGGCGGCCTACGTGATGGGAAATAGTTCCCGTCGTCCTTGGACATCTGCAACATAAGGGGTGTAGCGGATACGGATTTCAAACAATTCCTCGGAATGTTCCCTATTGCACAGACGATAAAACGAACAGAGGCAGCTTATATCCTTTCGGAGACTTAAGGGTATGTACTGTGAGTACCGGGCCAAAGGTAAGAACAGTATTCCATGTGGGGATAAATTCTGCTTTAGGTACATAATAAAAGCAAGTGTCCCGTTGTGAAGTACTGCTTTACTCTATTCAGTAATCCAAAATTTTAAGAGGCTAGTTTAGCCTTAATTTAACTTCGTTCGCTACGATCCGACCTGCGGTTGCAAAATAGTTACCACTCCGGTTTCGCGCTCCGGCACAGTAAAAAAATGACGGGCTTTTGTCATTGGCGATGGGACAGCCTCCTATCGGATCGGGACAGTCGAGGTTCGGGTCCCATACGTATCAACAGGCAGCCATTTGTGAACCGTTTCCTAAGGTCTGCCTGGACCCCATATCAATAAAACATACTCAAACCCTCAAAGCGGACTTAGGTTAATCTAGGATCAATTTTGGAGAGCAAACCACTTTATTAACAAAAACAAAATCAAAGTACATATAGAAAAGTAAGGTATAAAGTATCTTTTCACATATATATATATTTAATTTAATATTAACTGTACCACGCTACACACTACCATCAATTTGATATAAACAGATAGCACTTTAATAGGTGAAGATTCCTCATTATACATAATTGTCACTAAATGACAAACATGACCTTTCTATTTTACTATTGAACCTGAAATAACTCTTAGTTAATTAAGATATCTTACGATTTGGTATATTTTACCGTTGTACCTTCTAATAATATATTTATCATGTATTTGACAAATTTCTTGAAATTAATGTTATATACGCACAACAAGATTTATGAAAATATAAATTCTTTCATTCATCGAGGAGATAATATTAATTACTACTAGTAGCGCTTCATTTATTATTGTGAATTATTTCTCAGCACTCTTACAACAAGTTTTTGTCGTAAAACTGAATACTTATTGTATTCATTTTTAGACTGTAGGTTTAAGAGATTTAGGTTTAAGGGCCCACTATCTAACTTAGTGTCATAAACCTATTATGAATAAAAAACTGCAAAACGATCGGTATTACGTTTCATTTAGCCAACTTGTTGTAAGGATGCCATTGTTAGAAATCGTTGACATTCATGTTAACCTGACGATAATGTGCTTAATACATAATTAGTTATGAAGTTTCCATTAATAACACATGATATGATTTAATAAAGACGAGCTTTATACTATCGAATATAATGATGAGTAATATTATTATTGAGATTACAATCTTTGTGTCGGTTTTTTGAAAACTTTTAAATTTTCTTTAAATATCACTTCAAGCCATTTAAAATTGAAGCATATTTTTCGAACTAAATAAAATTCTATCAGCTGCTTATGAGAAAAAATCGAGAGTAATTAACTAAAACATGACTATTATTATATGTACATATATAATATAAAGGGTTATTTTGATATTTTAATTTAAATGCGATATTTAAATTTGTTTGGCATTTATTGTTTTGAGAGGTCTCTTGATTGAGTTCTACTGATTACAGTACAAACATAATTCTATCGTCCTTTCCATTAAAGTTTCATGATGACAAAAGTACTATTGACAGTAGATAGGAATTTAATTAAAAATTTTTAATAAAACATTATTTATATGAAATTAAATAAATGGAGACACTCACCACTCATGAAGTTATATATCAGTGGATTCACCGCTGAGTTGACGTAGCACATGACGTGTGATATGAGCGCTACGGCGGTCATCATGTCACTGTGTTGTACGTTGTACGCAACTCTGTTCATGTTGGAAACAACACAACATTAATATTAATATATGTGCTATATGAGTATTCGAATTCAATGATAATGAAGAATAAAACAATTATCGACATGAAGAAGATTTGATTTTGAAATACCCTGCATATTGTGTTTCGCTTGATTAACTAACTGAGATATCGCGGATTGAATTGAGACCGTGAACCAATCATTCTATATGTGAGTATTATCCGCTACATCAGAAGCAAGCAGTAATCTTATCTGGGATTTTCTTCTTAATCGTAACCAATGCACTTTTAGTGTGTTGATATCATACATATTTATTTTCATCATATAATATGTAAAGAAATATTAATTTCTTCAACTGCGGTAAATTTTCTTTAAAAAAAAATTGATTTATACTAGACCGGACGAATTAGGCTAAAAATTAAGCTAACTTATTTAACACCAATCTGGAAATCAGTCATATTGTTTGGAAATATGATTGAAAATAAAAATTGAAACCGCCTCGTATTTTCTATGAATAGAATAAAAATTATTTAGGGTCAAATGTTATGTGGCTTGGATTATATAAATTGGAAATATATACATATGTACTTTTCAATTCATGACACTTTTGATTAAATTTTATTTGATACTGAATTATTACTATACTCAAAGATGCTCAACAAAAAAGCCATACATTTAATGTACTTTTATTTTCAGTCTCAATGAAACTAATGAACTTTTGTTGACTATATCTAAGGAAAATTATATACATATATACCTCAGAACACATAGAAGGTGTACTGGAAAGAAGCACACCGCGAACATTATAACAACAGCTACCAACATCTTGGCTGCCTTCCGACGAGAGCGGAGTTGTCCTTCGGTAGATGCATTCGCGTGAATTGATACAGTCCTACGTCTTCTAGCTGCAAACCCTGAGTAAAGGATAAAACCTCTTAGCATCCAATATTGTCACCATGTAGCTGCCGGGTCCATCGTTGTAGGCAGAGGAGCTTCAACAGTGCCTGGGACTTACGACCCAGGTGTAGGTTTAAGGGGCCCCTATCTAACGCGCGTTATACGGTGTCTACGCTCCAGCTTGGTCTACGGTGACCTTGGTCCAAGCTCCTCTCTCTACTTCCTTGTAATTATCGATAAGAAATATATTTTCTTTTGTATTGCACAAATAAATTTCAGTCGACATCATGGAACTGTTTTATTATATTTTAATTTCAATTGATTACGTAACTAGTAATTAGACATAAAAAGATTATTTTATGTACATTCGACTATCAAAATAAATATTGTTTTGAGTTAAATTTACAAGTAATTGACAGAAAGAAAATAATATATAATTTCACAATGTTGTAAATTCTGAAAGTGTGTGAGGAATAACTTTATTTTGCGAAATTCCAAGTAAGTTTATTAAGAAATATGTGCTCATTACCTTTTTAATTATTGTAAACGAACTTAATTGTATTAGACATAATTTGATTATTATTCTTCTTATCTAGTTACAACTAGAAGACACTCAATTTGGGTACGTTTAGTATCCTTATTAAGACCTAATTCCGTCAAACATGAATAATTATGAAAATGAATATTGATATTCTAGTTGTTCTTACTTTTAATTGGTTATACCGTAGAAATACATATTATCAAAAAAAGTGTCTATATGAATATAAAATTTGAAAGAATTATTATTTAGTCAATAATGTTTTTTTGAACTTCATGGCTGTTTATGAATGTTTTTTATGTGAATTTTTAAATAATATCTTACAATAGAAATCTGAAATTTACATATGAATTTTAGTCAAACAAAATAAAGTTAGGTCTACATAAAAACTGAATCAAAAAGCATAAAAGCATCTTGTTAATTATTTTACAGCAAACCTCTTTTGTATAATCAACTATTTCATTATTTTTTCTTGCTAATATATCGTTTTTATATTTATGAATAGTTTTTTGTTTTTATTTGTATTTTCGCAAAATGCCTTTGTCTAATTTTTAATGTACATTGAAATGAACTGAAGACAAAAAATACAGTTTAGAAATTATCTATAGAGTAATAGGCATATATATTTTATGTTAAGTTCGTAATATATTAATGTGACATATATTCCATATTGTTATAAGAACTTAAAATAAAATTAAATTTAAGCTACATACATAAAAGTATTCCTTCTGCCATAAGAACAAGTGAACAACTGAATTATTTATTTTAATTATACATATAAAGTAAGAAATTCTTTGCGAGAACTTTAAAAACCGTTATTGCAAATTAAAAATATTTTATCAAATATGATTTTCTTGTGAGCACTTTTTAGGAATAAAGGAATCACGAAAAACATTTTAATATTTTATATGTTTTTGTGAATAAATTGGTATTTTACTTTTGATGAAGCATAATCTAATATTCAGTATAAATAGTTTTAAGAAATCATAAAAATATTTGTGCACCTTCCGATTAAAGCTTTACATAGTTCCAAAATTTATTTAAAATTTAAATATTTTATTAAATAGTTAAAAATATCAACTATTGGTCAATAATGCTGTGTTTATAATATCTTATAGGTTTAAGTAATATTAATACTATGCTTTTTTAAGGTATTTGACTTATAGTTTTGAAATAGCAGCTCTGGTATGTATAACTAAACAGATTGTTTCCCTGTATAATTATAATTTTAACAATTATGAGTTTGTTAATAAAAAAGGGATACCTATTATTTTAGTAACGTTAATATGCTCACTAACAGTATGTAAATGATCGTACAAGTTTATTTTCACGATTAATTAATAAAATATATACGGTTTAAGAATAAAATTTTATAAAGATGTGCGATGCATATTTCCATAAAATTCTTACTTTCTTACTTTTAAAGGTAAAATGTGCGCTGGTTATCAAGAAAAAGACTGTCTATATTTTTATGCCAATATTTAAAATGTCAGAAACAATGACATGCTTTTACAAATAGAAAACATATATTTTTGTATGACAGTATAGTTTTATGGTTATTTCAAAACTGTTTTCTATTTTATGATACATATGTTTGTTATTTTTAGGAACTTTAAAAATGTTGCTATAATAAGAAGTATGTATAAATATAGGTATAAGTATGTATAAGTATATAGGTAATTTCTACTGGTGAAGATTTATCCTTTGTAAGGATCAAAAACTATTATTTTTTTCTTTGGTGATATTTATTTCCCCATTGCAATATAACTGAATGCAATAAAAAGGTTAGTGATAAACTTTTATATATTTCAGTTGTAAAAGTATCAACTTTATAATATATAGGTACGTCTAATAGCCTTCTTACGTCATGAGATCATAATCACAGTTATTTTTGGGACATATGACTAAGAATTATAAATAAGAGAACTACTTCTTAAGTTTATATGAAAACTGAAATAAAATACAAATTACACAAAAGTATTGCAAAAACGAAAACTATTGAACTTACTTCTGTGTTAAGAAACAAGTGTTAAACCTCTGATATTCTTTAGATATTGCTAACGAATGCTGCATGACATCAAGTGTTATAATAGTCATCAGCCTATCAGAAGCCCACTGCTGAGCAAGGCCTCTTTCTCACATGGAGATCGTTTGAGCATTAATCACCACGCTTGCTCAAGACGGGTTGGTGATTTCAAACTTATAATTGTGAAACTTTTAGTCCAGGTTTCCTCACGATGTTTTCCTTTACCATATGAGAGGCGGGCCCCTTAACCACTAGGCCACCACTGACTGTAATAGTAGTTTATTTATTTTTGTAGAAGATTGAAACTTTTTTTGCTACTCATTAGTTGCACTAAACTAGTAAACAACAAAAACAACAATCACCCTCAAAATCATATTTTGAATGCAGAATTGGTTCCTATTTTTTTTACTAACTTCATTAAGGATATTAAAATTATGTAATTTGAATATGTTATTAATACAGTATAGTTCTAAACTAAAAATATTTAGAAGGTTTTATTAAGTACATACTTTAAATTGGTACTATTACTCATGTGACCGTGTGGCCTAATGGATAAGGCGTCGGACTTCGGATCCGAAGATTGCAGGTTCGAGTCCTGTCACGGTCGAACCAATTTTTTAAAGCAAATGTTCTAACCTTATCTACTATACTAGTACAAATCAAATAATTCGTTTAATTTTCAATGAATGATACTAAATTGTAAACAAAAAAGTTTGTGACTAATTTTTGTAATTGATTAATCCTGATTCTTACTTTTGTCGCATTACTATGTACTTTGTGAGTTTTATAAAGCTATTAGAATACATACCTATTTTTTGTATGAAACTACATCGTAGTTATAATGAATGGGTAAAATCAAATGTTTGAATAAAGCGAATTGTAAAACGCTGGTGATTTCAATTCAATCATTCACAATTTTCTGAATAATATTGTAATAATAAGAATAGATTAGAATGAATCAAAGGTAGGTTGATTGAAACGAATTTGAGTATTGATGAAAAGCACCAAAATATAAAATGTAAAGATTTTAGAAAGAGTTAGAATAACAGAAAATTAATATATTAACAAAGAGCTTCAGAAGGCCATTTTTATAGAATAGCTCATTTATTTATTAACTATGGTTATATACATTATAGAACGAAGTTCTTTTATACAAACAGACGTTAAATAATCTATACTAAAAATCTAATGAGCAGCTTATAGGAAAATAAAAGATTATAAGAAGAGAAGAATATTGTTTTAGTAATTTGAATAATTTAGATATATTTAATTCACTTTATTAAGAAACGGGTGTGAATTTAAATCAATATAGATTATAATATATTGTTAACGTAAGATAAAAACAACTTTAATATTAAAGGAAAATAATATTTCATGTAACTGAAGGAATATTATCTGTATTCGGTAGAGAAATATCGACTTTTAAAGAGAAATATAAATAAAATAATACGACAAAAAGTAAAGACACCAAAAGATTTCGAAAAAAAATGGCTTTCTTATAGCTAGCTGGGAACTCGAAATGAGTTGGTGAAATCGAGATTGATCTTAATGATAAATGGATAGTAATCGATAAAAATGCTTTTACGTTTCAATAAATCTATACATTTTTCTTTTAAACTGTTCTTATATATGGCCCGTACTTAAAAACAGAGTTGTAAGTAATGAAAACTTACCATTTGTCTGTCCATTTGGGCATAACTGGTGTAGCTCCCTATGACCTGGTATATTATCTGATCTCCATAGGACCCTCACAATCTGGCAGTACGCTACCATCATCAGCATGAGTGGGAATCTAAAAAAATATATTGAAATAATTATTTATAGGTACAAGCTTCAGAAATCCATTTTATATTTAGAATTATTTGTAAACGATTTCTTTAAATGTGCCTATTATTTGCACAACAGTTAACCTTAGACATCAAAAATACTTCAAGGTGTCTTATTTTAAATTGACAATATAATTATCACTTGTAACAATTTGTATTTATGTAGATAATGAAAAAAATAAATGGCGATAGATATCATGAAATAGATGAAATATAGTAAACAGATAGTAATATACTATTTATTTTAAAAGGAACCATAATGGTATCATAGGTGTAATGGATATTAGATATATTTCTAGATGTTGGGTATATTTAAATATCTTATTAAAATAAAAGACTTTGTGAGATAAGGACAGTTATTTTACTTTTAATATGACACTTAAAAGTTTCCATGGGACTTCAAATTGAACTGAATAAATATTTTTGCAAGACTTTTGCATGGCTGGGCCTTTTTGTAGAATACTAAAGAAGAAATCTAATCGGTAGAAATTGTTAAAAAGATGTATAATTGTTTATCGTTTACCTTTATCAATTTAATAGTATTTTGATAATAAAAATAATGTTTTACTTACGTGTAAAGGAAAAGCGCCCTAATTATATGCCAAGTGAGTTCACTCTCCTCTGACCAGGTGTAGGTACATTGCATAAAATACTGCTGGTTGAAACGTAGCTCAATGTTTGCTTGTACTTCCAAGATCACAAATTCAGGAATATCTATGAATTATAAAAGAGACAATATAATTATTTATGTTGTTATAAAAATATATTTAGTATGAATACAAATCAAAATATGAACTGGTTATGTCTGAAAAAAGAATTATTAATGGTTTGAAAATCATTACAAATTTTCTTTATGTTAATAACCATTTAAATATATGTACTCGCCTCGATGGGACTGACGAGACTAAAGGAAAAAATATTGAAACATTTACTCTTAAACCTTAAACAAGGGTATTATTCAGGGTAACATTTTTAGTTACATGTGAATTATATAGGGTGGCAACCGGAGGTTGAAGGAAATTTACGAAACATACTTATATGTATAGGTACCTATTAAAATAAGAATTACATATTAAAACTTATAACCTACACCTAAGCTACATGGTTGTCCCGATGTTAGGATGACAATGGCATTCTATTGCTTGAGTGGTATGTAAAATCTTCTGGTACACACGGCTTGGTGTTGGTTCTTCGGAGTCAGCGGCGTCACTCGTTATACGATACTTTACCGAGGTCGCCCCGGCGATGTTCATTTTTTTTCTTCATATGTAGCGCGTACGTAACATGTGAGATTTTAGATGATTATATCACTACATAATTAATAAATATACTTACTAAACAGCATAGACACCATCCATATAATAAGTATAGCAGTTTTCGCTCTGTTGGTGGTTGATTTGAATTTCAGAGGATAACAGATGGCGTACCAACGATCCAGAGATATGAAGGTAAGAGTGAGCACTGACACCGTTACTGACACGGACTGAAACAAACATTACTATGAACATAAAGTTAAATACTATAGCTGTGCATATATTCATTATGATATTGTGATAATAATCATATAAAATTGAATTAAAACTACATTAATAAAGTTTTATACTTTGTACAGAAAATGTGACTGAAACATAAAGACAAATTAGTGATTAATTCTTATGCATATTGATTAAAGAGTTGGTTTTCTCATATTCCTAAGTTACAAGTTTATAACATAATGTATGTTCAAGTAGCCGATTTTTAGAATTAGTAATCTTGAACATTGTATCATCTACCAATCCCTTTTATTGCATTTATCTATTATAGCCGGTACATTTTTTAGTAATACCGAAGTGGAGTATTCCCAATCAATATCGTTTTATATTTAAAATGTCAAATATTTGAAATTGAAAAAAAAATTGCAAATTATTACAAAACTACTACATTGTAAACGCTAAAAATATTGACAAACATTTTATTTTCTGAGTCAAGTTCGTATAATATGTAAAACCAGATGTTTTTATCAAATTTTGATCATAGGCTAACATACAGCATATTAAATGACTATGTCTATCAAAGCGAGCAATAAAAGCTTTTCAGATTCAATTTATTGTGGATGGTTTTTATGGAGATATTCAAAGAGAGGTCCAACGATTTTGTGAGAAATATTTATTCCGGAAAAAGTACTAAGAAGACAAAGGACATGGAAAATCTGACAGTTTCATTTTTCTTATACACTTCACTGGTAACGTTTAAAAAGTCTTTTAATAATTTGCCATGATTGATTATCTTGACCAAAGTATGAAAAAAAACATGCCGCTGGCAAAATTTCTTTACAACAAGAATAGAATTATATATATGTTGTTTTAGATGTCTTATATACAAATATTGTAAAAAAATATATAGTTTCAATATTCTCAATAATTAATTTGATATTATTATTGAGTATTGAAGAGCAGGAGATATTTTTTTATAATGCGGTTTAATAAAATTAATATTAAAACACATAAAAATTATGTATATTAACCAGGGTAACAAGTATATTTTGTCTTTGCAATACCTACCTTGTATTTTATTAACCAAGGCGAAGATGGCTATCGTCTTTTAATAAAAACAAACGAAAGGACAGACGGCGTACCTGATGGAGATAGTATCGTCGCCCATGAACATCTACAATACGGTGTTGGAGATGCTTTGCCAAACTTGACATATTTAACGAGGTAGCTTGCAAAAGTTGTAAGTGAAATAAAATATAATAAAAATATATAGGGTTATTCTGTTCCTAAAACGAAGTAAAGGTAGTAATAAGACTAATACACAAATACAAACTGTCATAATAAAACTAAGTTTAATTCTATTTATGTCGTTCTTGTAGCTTTAGTAATTAAAATAAAATTAATGTTGCTAATAATGTTGGAAGCGTACAGTATAAAGTTAATTTAAAAGATTTATTTATAATGCATAGTTATTAATTCTCAAAAATTTTAATTGTCAGGTTATTCTGAAAAACAGGTTGAACTAATTTATTGATTAAGAATCATTGACGTAAATATTACTGTTTAATTCAACTGAATGTTTTAATAAAAAAAAATCTGTTTTTTCATTAATTCTTTATTTCTATACAGTCGGGGAGCCCACAAAGCTAAATCGGTATTTACTCAAGCACTATGGAGAGCTATTAAATCGCAAAGCTTACATAGTAAAAAGAGGAAAAACATTGTAGTATGTATACCTTCTTATCGGATGGGGAGTGGCTACATATTTTCAAAAATATAAAAAAAGCTTGTCCCTTTATGTCCTACGCATTTTACATAATGTACGTACATTTATCTGATCGTTTGCATTATGGGAGTGGTTGTACGTAAGAGTTGAAAACGAAAAAATAATTGAGCTCGTTAAATTTTATGAGGGGATGCTAAGTAAACTTTTAAAATGTTCTCATTCAATAATCTAACGATTTGGATGTGATGCAAGCTGGCGGTCGTAACTAGAATTGTCAACAAAAATCGCCATTTTCTAACACTCAAGCATAACAGATTAATATTGGTTATCTTTTCGTCCTAGGCTTGCTAAAGATCATCAGAATATGTTTGCCTAACCTGACACTTAAAAAATATTTTATTAAACATGTGATTTGAGAAACTTTTGATACTTAGGGAATGGAGACGGTGGAATAGATTGAAAAATAGAGAGAATAGAAGGTAAAGGTACACAATTTGTACAGGTATGTAACCGGATACTTATCCCCTTATATATTAATTTGCTGCGCTTTAGAAAATACCGAAATCCTTTCTTTTGCTCCCCTACTAATACTTTTACTACCTGTTTATGTTAAACATATTACAACCTAATAAGTGTTAATGTTTTATGTAGTACATAGCTCATTGTATAAACATTTCAGGTGGTCCAGTTTCAAAACTTATTTATCAAAATAATAATCTAATAAACTCAACCGATAAGCTGTGAAACGTAGGATTGTATAAATAATAAAAAAAATTAATATATATAATATATATATATACATACATATTAAGTAATAGTTAAAAAAAAGGATTCGAAAAATAGAGAACATCTTTTATTTTCGAAGAATAAATTTAAGTGACGTTGATAAAAAATAAAAGAAATGAATTATTATTAAATCTTCAAAAGCAGGTTAATATTGCTTATAAAAAACACAAAACAAATAGACAATATGGAAATAATACTCTCGATTGTTATAAAAGTTTCAATTTTGAATAAAATGAATATTTACAGTTATGCTCATGAAAGGTCTCGTTTAATAATTTCATTAGGCAAGATTTTTGAAATGGTGGAGTTAGAATTTACAGGTTAAATGGATTTTCTCTTGCTATATATAATATACCTGTAGTTTGGTACAACGGCTGCATTGAATTCGCTTGTCAATTATATGTTAAGCTACCACTTCTTTAACCCTAGTACCATTTCCAGTCTTCGTTTATTTGTGGGATATGACAAGCCTCAGACACTACGAAATTTTTACACATGCTTTTTTTTAAAAGACATGATATTCTTAATTGGTTACAATAGTTTGCTCAATTTTCTTGTGTTTTATGTATTGTTTTAATTGAAACCTTAAAGTTGTTTCCTCTTTTGTCAGTTTTCCAATTGTTGGCGAGGAAAGTGGTGTGATGTGGCCAGAGTAGTAAGTTGAAAATTAAGACAACTTTGGCTCTATTCATATGAAAAACAAAGATAACTCAGACAAACTTTAAATTTATCTGCTGTTGATCATAATTACTGCAAGTTGCAACAAATTACTCCTCAATCCGGATATAGTTATTGTTTTTTATTGAATTATAATTTTTTTCACTAGCCGTTTCGTACATATTTTTTTACACTTTATAGCTCGTTGATTATCGATTTGATAAACGAAAAGTTTCTCAAGTCACTGTGGTTTGGAGTGATATGGATCGTAAGAATTGCCTAAGTGACACCATCAATCTTAATATTAAATAATGAAAAAGTTATTTGGTGTTTCGGCCAGGTTACACCAATTATATAGTTGTTTTCTTTGTTTCGAGTGATTTTTAATTCATTTCATTTATCCAAGGTTTACATTAATAACATTATAAAAGTTTACTAAATAATACTAAAACCAATACAGAATTACAATATAGTGTTAAATAATTGCAGCACTAATCAGCAACACTAATTGTAGTATGGATAAGAGTATGTGCTCGCACATGTGCGTATATTAATAATAGTTTGAAGTGTATAACACTTTGCTTGCAAATCTACAAATAATGAAAAAAATATATAAAGAAAATATCCAAAAATAAGACGTGACAAGAAGAATAAAATAATGTTAAAACACAGAAATGATTCCGCAGGGTTTTTACGAAGAAAACTGCCCGCATTATGACGTAATGAAAATCCAGTTCTATGTTATTTTGTACTTAAGGGTGTGGCGTGATTTTAGTAGGTAAAATGTCACTCTGTAATAGAAACTAGACATTTTATATCGAATTATAATAATTATTTCATATCCCTAAAAATATATATGTACATATTATGTCTAAATTTGTTTTTATGCTTCATTACATTCATAGATAAATGTTGATAATAAACACGAAAAAAGAAATATTTCGTTGAATATTTAAAGAATAAAAACGTACCTGAAAATATAGCACTATTCGGCATATGGCAGTACCAAAGAACCAAGTTTTGGTAACATCCCATAACACAGTGGGCGGCAAGCAGAAGAGGATTACTAAGAAATCAGCGACAGCCAAGTTCACAATGAAATAGTTGGTCACCGTCCTCATTGTATGATTACGGTAAACGGCGATACACACTAGGGCATTGCCAATCAATCCTGTCACAAATACGATTGCATGCGTTGCTATCAAGACCCATTCGTATGATTTAGGGTAAATATACTCGTATAACATTTCCAAATATTCTTCTTTTGTCATATTACAGAATTCAGGATCACCAACGCAAGGTTCTTCTGTATATGTTTCTACATATTCATTTAACACATCGGATCTATTGGCAACGATTTTATCTTTGTCGTTTAAATCTTCTTTAAGAATATTTTTTGTGTCATATAACAGTTGGTATTCATCCCTCCTCTTTTCCTTTGTTAAAACAATTTTAGTAATATTATTAATATTGCGCTTATCTCTATAATCACTTCTATTGTTGCCGCCTATTATATGTTTATCATTAATTATAAAGTATTTAGAATCCATTAAGCTATCTGATGCATTAAAAATATTTCTTTTATAACTAGTTCTTACTATGATTTCGATTCCTTTAGCTCCAAAATGTAGATTACACATAAAAATTACGCAGAGAAAGGATAATAAATTTTTAAGAGCCATTCTTCTCAATTTACAGTGACGTTTACTGTTTAATACACTCTTAGGCGATGAAACTCCATATTCACCATCTGTAAATAAAAAATCAAAGTATAGTTTTTTTTTTTCAAAAAAAACAAACATCGTGTATTGATAACACCAAAAATTCCAACTCCCTTAATATTTTTATTTAACTTATGGAAAAACTAAAGAGATAGAAATAGAATCTTCGCATTTAAAGTGAAAGTAACGTACTTTATTGTTATTCCTAAGTCCAATAAAATTTATAGGCAATATTAATATACATATTCGTAATCACCTTAAAGAAAAGTCGTTTTCGCCTTTTTAGATTTTTACTAAGAGTTTGTCTAAAGGGTGCCAGAAAAATATTCATATTGTAGAAAAAATATACATATACACACATAAAAAAACATATCTGCATAGATACATACAAACTTCGAAATCGAAGTCGCAATCCTCCTTTTTAGTAGTGGAATAATAATTCTAATGGGTCAAATTATATTAAAACTAGTTTAAATTAAGTTTAAAAGCTACTACTACTACTAGTGTTGTAAGTAAAGAGAATTTGAGATACATACAATATTAAAAAATAAATATTTTCATAGTACATGTTCAGATTGACACTAATAGTAACACATTAATCTGTGGAGACTAAATTTCTGTTATAACTAGAAATACATCCATTAAATAATTTATAATTTATTTTATCAACCTGAATCTCAGCGAAATTAATGACGAGTATATGTAAAAAAATATTTATTTATTTATTTAATTTAAAATTCAAGCAACACAAGACTCAGTTTGGTATACGACTTTCCGTATTTTAGGTTTATTCTTTAAAATACTCGTAGTTCAAAACAAATAAATTATTTCGGTGACAAAAATTACATTTATCAAAAAATATTAAATAAACAACATACACTAGATAAATATTACAAGTACATATATATATGAACAGATTTTTAACCCTTGATGCTTAATGAGGGGTGTTATAAGTTGACGTTCATATTTGTGTTGTGTGTGTGTGTGTGTGTGTGTGTGTGTGTGTATGTCTGCCTATACCATCATAGCTCGAACAAACGAACAATTTCGTCCAGACGATTTGAAAAGATGCCGTGATTACAGTTGCCGTTTACGTACCATCAGAATAACGTAGATATAAAAATAAATAAAAAATCGTACTATAAGAAAAACTTAGTTTCATTTAAATATGTGCTCCTATAGGTACTGAAAGCTGTATTTATACCTGAGAAGCTTAGATATCATTAGTTCATTTACATTTTCATAACATAAATTGTGCAAATGAATTATATAAATTTTTCTACTATTTTTAAATCTAATTATATTAAAAAAACAATTGATTAAAGTTTTGTAATATTTGGTATAACTCGATTTAAATTAACTCATTTATACTTTATTACTTGAACTTAAGAAAACATACATCGACAAAAACCATAGCTTCTTAAAAATTTTATAATTTTATATTACATGAAGTTATTGTAATATTTTTTATTTACTCTTCTAAAAAGTAGTCACGCCAACGTAATCTTTATTTGGGAGCACCGCAATCCTATGAAAATAAAAATAAAATGCTTTGAAAAATATCGATGCCGTCGCCTAAAGGCATTTTCTTGCTTTAATCTCAGAAGCAAGAACACACGACGTGTACAAGAATCTGATGAGTCACCTCGAAATTATTTTTAACAACTAAAAATATAAATATTACGTTATACCTAAAAATTACATAATACCGCTTACATAATGACACCAAAATATACTAGCAATCATTGTTGAGAATGCGATTTAACATATGTATGTAAATACATTATAAAAACGCGTATATAAATTATATAAAACTGATTCATGAATTTTAATTTTAGAACGACCTAGTTATGTTTGAGTATAAAAGTGTGCATATCAATTTGTTAAACATAGAGATTATACTCGTATCACAGGTGTTAAAATTCCGGTAAAATGAAAAGAAGCTACGAGAATCTTAGATGCAAACCAGAAATAAAATTTAATTTTCATTGATCCAATTAAACATTCAATCCAATTAAAAATGAATTTTAATTTTCACTTTATAATTGCAGGGACGAATATTTTAAGCAAACACATAGGTACTATATGTGGAAAATTACTTCAAAGACAGGATAAATAAAGGGTAATGTCTAAACATTCTGTTTGAATTTTACCCTCTTAAATGTCATTGCCCTTTCAAAGTGTGTGATTATGACCTTCAGCCTGAATTAATAAAAATTCTATTGAGTGACCTCAGCGTTACAAATCGTATACTTAATATTGTAAGTTTCTTCAGTTTTTCATGACATCAGTTCCAATTATTCAATTTTATGTAGCATTTGATTTTCAAAGTCACTTTTGTTAAGGTCAATGACGCAATACTATGAAATAAATTAAATCTATCAAAATCATTTACCGTTTTCAGTTGTATAATTTCTTTGTTTATCCTTAAGATGTCATTGTCCTATTAATTATATCACTTTTTCGTTAATACTTTATATTAAACTACTCTCATAAGCAATCCTAGACATTATTAAAGTTATATTAGTTAATGTGTACAGAAAAATATATGCTTAAGTGTAAACTAAAAAGATAAAAGGGACAATGTGTATTATATATACACATTGTTCCTTTTTTCTTATATTGAATTTAAAATTGATTCTCAGACAGTCACTATACACAGGCATACTCTTCATTTCTATTATTTTTTTCTCTCTCTATATTCAAACTTATATTTAGAAAACTTTATGAAAATAAATGATTACTTATACTTTTTTAAATTGAATACGATTTACCTACAAGACTGCACGGATAATGGGTTTTTCAAAATTTTATTTACATATAATTGATATTTAATTACTAAACCAACCATTTAAAAGTACTTTTGACAGACTAAACTTAATATTTGCTATACTAATATTATAAAGTTGAAGAGTTTCTTTGTTTGCGTTAATCTCAGGAACTACTGGTTTGAATTGAAAAATTATTTTAGTGTTCAATAGATAATTTATAGAGAAAGGCTTTAAGATATATAGCATCACGCTGCAACTAATAGGAGCAGAGAAACAACGAAAAATGTGTAAAAAACGGGGGAAATTATTCATCTTTGTGGGCTTCTGTCTATTCTACGCGGACGGAGTCGCGGGCACAGCTGGTATTATATATAATTCTTCTGTGAGTGTGTATATCACTGATTTTCTCTCAAACGACCTGACCGATTTCGATGAATTTTTTTGTGTTTGTTCAAGGGGATCTGGGAATGGTTTAGATTCACAATTTTGTCCGCTGGACAATGTTTTTTTAATTAATTTTTAATTTATTAGTAGTTGTTGATACAAACGTTTTTTTTTGACATTAGATTTGGCAACTAACTAATATATCAATCATTCTGTCGCACTTCAAAACACGGAGATTTATATCTTTAATAGGTAAACTCCAAAAATATAAATAAAAAAATGTAACAGACATTTCTTGATTATAGGACGATACGAAGTTTACCGGGTCTTCTAGTATAGTATAGATTTCGCCCACAAAAATTATTCGTGTAGCTTGAAAATGTTATCAACGTTTTTTGGCATGACGCTTATAAGTGATAAAATTCACTCATATATAAATCGTACTTTTTATTATCCCTAAATTCGGGGCAGAATCGGAATCTATTAGTTTAATGGTTGCGTGATGGCGTGTGTATTTTTGATTTGAGAAACAGTGCTAATGATGGCACGGAATACATACCCTTATATAAGGTGTAAAAATGTATGGCCCGCCTTTCTGTGAAGCGATCTTTTACGAAGGTTGCGTGTTGATTATTATCAATATATTGACATTAAATATAAAAAGTTCATATATATGTATAATTGTAGTTATATAATTTATTATTATTATCTAATATTACATATTTGATGTGTGATTTAAACATATAATATAGGTTTATTGGGTCAAGACACCAAATTATAATTTTATTAGAAATGGTGATGAATATATACAACTCAATTAAAAACTAACTTATTATATATGAACACAAATTGGCGATTTATATTTAAGTAATATAGTAAAGTAATAATTGGTATATCTGCAACTAAAAAATCCTATGAGGTAAATCTGAGATTGGAATATACTTTTTGCACTTATTTTATATTAAAAAAAAATACATAAGTACGTAAGCTACTTATTAAACTAGAAAATGCTCTATGCAAAATAAGTTAAGATTAATGTTATAAAAATGTTTAGTCATGTTTCTACTATTAAGGAATTTAGAGAAATATGTTTTGTTTGGACAAAATGAATAAAAAACAAACACTAAATGAAAGTGACTTCCCACAAAGACAAATACGAATAATCATATATTGTTTAAGGTCCATGTTTAAGAATCAATAGGTTCTGTGAGAGAAAGCACTGGCTATTAAATCAAATATAAACATTACTCTTTTCTGAAAGTTGCTCCACATTGGATTTTAATGAAAGATACGTATGAGACGCAATATATAATCTCAGAAATGCTCATGTGTCGGCGTCTAGATCAGACATATTTGTGTTAATAGAGTTTACGGTTCCTTGGGAAACCAACATCCCCAGAGACCATGCCTTCACCAAGCTCACTAACGAACGCGATGGGAATAAGTTCGTCTTAAATTTTTACGCAGTAGAAGTGGGAGCGACAGGTATATCAGCTGCATCTCTCAACAACCTACTAAAAAACTTGGCTTGTCCAGGACTATATTCTTAGAACGTAATTCGATTGCAGTCCTAGTAGGCTCGTTTCAAATTTGGTTAGGTAGAGAGAGGAGTTTTGACGGCCGAGGTGAGCGTTTAACGCGCGTTAGGTAGGGGACCCTTAAATCTACACCTGG